TGTGAAGTTATCAATTTGGATTGTGCAATGTAATACTTATAATAATAACAGTATTGTATACCCAAATTTTCGGGAAAGTGGAGTGAGCCGTTTCTGATTTAATCTATAAAATAAATTGATTCATTCATATTTTTTTTCGTCGCATTATATACATAAGCAATTCTTAAAAATATTAATATAATGATAAATAACAAGTATAGTATATTTTGCACATTCTAGATAGTATTTATTTGACAAAATTTTGATATGACGTGTTCAATTTACATATATATTTTAATTAAAAATTTATCATACTTACAATAACTTTAAAATAGACTGCAAGATTTCAAAACATTCGGTTTGGTAGTACAAAATTAAATTGGACAATATTACATGTATATACAATATACATGGTTAAATTTTTTTCGAAAAATTTGGATGTCTGTTTTAAAAATTCATCACGGATTCCTAAACTACACGTGTAGCTTATACAGTTTAAAACCCATTTATTATGTACAATTTTAGATTTTAGGCTAAGTTTGGTGAGCATTGTATCATCATATGATATTCATAATACACATAAAATTTGACAATAATCGGTCCGGTAGTTTCGCAAATTATCTGAGTAACTAGAGTCGGCATAGACGACGGACAGACAGACAGATAGATAGATAGACAGGCAGACGGAAAGGGGATAGCAATCTTTTCGTACTCTCAGAGTCATGAAACATCCAGAAAATATGGAAGTAGCAGTCGCCCAGTGGCCTCAATTACAATACTCGTACTTAATCGGAAAGTAAAAATGCAGTAAACTAATTTCATTCTCTTATTCATTTTATGCTAAATCTAGTCTTCCGGAGTAGCTGAAATTTGTTGTTTTGACCAGCTTTAAGCTTCGAAAGTCTATTGCGGTATTTCATATCATAATGTAACGCGTGGATTTACTCAACGTTATAGTAAGATGAGTAAGATTGCTGGAATGTGAGGGATACCGTGTTAAGTTTGGACTATCTTTTTTGACTTTTTGATTTGTATTTGTTTATAGCGGAAATGGTGGATTTGCAATGTTTCGACCTTCAATAATAGAATTTGTAAGACTATTTTGTCATTAATCAGGACACATTTCACATTCGAAAAAGTAAAGATCGTAACTTCAAAAAAAAACACATTTGCTGATCATAACAATTCGTAAGTAGTGGACAAGTGAGAGTTTCTTACTAACTAGCAATTTGGACATGAATTGTTAAAAATTTAAATAATTGTGTTGGATTTTTAATAGTGGCATGTATTATGTTTCTGAACCGTATCTGCAAAACCTAGGTTAGTCTTCTACTTCTACAATTGGATTCAAAACTTGTACATTGCAAAAAATAATATGGAAAATTTTAGTCAAGCACATTATTTCGGAAGTAATACTAACCAAGCTCCAAGAACTATTTAAAAGGTACACCATACCAATTCCTTCTATGGGCTGCTATTTCCAAACTATCTTACCGCCTAGAAAGTATGTAAACAAACACTTCTGGTAAGGATTTTTTTTATTAATTACCCATGAAAACAACAGTCAATCTTGAGGTGCCATCTGATTACGTAGATGTAGATCGTAGCGTTAGTACAATTTTTATCTTCATTCGTATCATTAAAATCTCGTAAAAGACACATGTTTTCCGTATATAACTTTGGCGACAAGGAAGCGACTTTGTTATGGCAATCGACCTGTGGCGAGTCTTGGTTAAAATAACGTCGTTTTGTGTGTTCCGTGGCGATCGTCAGCCATCAGGATCAGTCATCAGTTCTGTCGGCGGTTAGAGACCGATAACATCTCAAGAAACAAGCCGCCCTCTGTCTTTGGGCGCGCCAAGTACAGCTGCTGGTGACGGTAGCAGCGGGAAAGATTTAATTATTCAGTTTTTAGAATCCCGTTTCCTTTAAAGGAAGAAGGCAGTAATTATTTGATAAGAATAGCGGCTCTGTTCGTAAAGTGTTTGTAATGGGTAATGACGAAGATAAGCAGGCTGAGACCCGGTTCAGAGACGGACGCCTTGTGGGGCCTTTCCCTTCTCCACCATTCACGGATTATACGCGCTTTGGTACTTACATTCCAGTTTTGATTGTGCAACTTCTTGCTGACCCGACAAATCGTCTCGGCTAAATTAAATTTTATGGCCATTTAAAAGAATTAGTAATGGGGGCTTCAGCGCGCCTATCTGCAGAAAGGAGGTATATTTCGCTTAGTGGATTTACCTTTTCGAACGGTTTTTTACCTTCTACGATATTATATTACCGACCGGAAATATCAAGAAACTTTAGTAAAGCAAGCGGCAGTTTGTCTGGATATATTATTAACGCTTCCGTGATCAAATATGGAGTCAGTTTCGCGGTCTTCGCTTGTTCGTCCCTCGACGTATAGAGCTATAATGAACTGTCTAACAAATGTTGGGCTTCCAAGTTTCGATTACCTGTGATGAAAGGATCTTGGTTTATTTAAATAAGTAAATGATATCGTGCACACAATAGACTCACCCATCTCGATTCCTGGTGCCCAAATTATATTAAGTTACTAATTAAATATTGAGTTTAGCTAAGCAGTTTCGGTGTTATGATAAAAAATTCTTTTGTTTTGCTAACAAGCAAATAATGGTGGTAATTAGCTGTGTCTGTATACAGAACATCTTAAAAGCAATGAGGCGTAATGTGTGAGTAGGTGAGTGGGGTGTCGTAATAGTAATTTAAAAATACAAGGCACATCCAAAAGAAAAGTAAGGTTTTAATCTGTTCATTCTCCATTCAGTATTTAATAGAATTATTTTAACTAAACCTTTTAGAATTTAACGGCATCAGAGGTTCACACCTACGTCCTTAAATCCTGCCCTAATTATAGATAGATATGCAGATCGTCTCTACCTTTAATATCGTTTTGCCTGCATGTAAAGATAACTAATGATATCAAGCGTTGTCCACTTAATTGCGGGACTTTCATTAGCGATTGAGCGATACATATTAAAGATAAAGATTCTGCGCGCTCAATGAGATAAGACATGCCACCATCCAGACTTATTTTATTTAAAAAACAAATTGTTACTTGCGTGTTTTATTAAGCCTAAAATAGTTGTAAATCAGGCTCGGATTGTATGCATCAAAATATAGAAGAAATATGCGCATAATGTGCATACATTTTTGGTCAAAATATGCACCATTTTATTGAAAATATGCAGCTAATTGTGCAAAACATGCATATGCAAATACTTAATTTGAATATGTCTAATAAAACAAAATTACATTTTTATTTATTTATTGTTAAAATAATAATCTTGTAACGTTTATTTGCAACATAAGAATTCAACCTATAACTAAATTAAGTATGTAAGAAACTGATGTTTACACAGTATTTCTATTTTAGCTATAATTTTGATTAAACCAGATTATTATTAAATATTTTTCAAAATTTTCTATTAGAAATGATTCGCGGTTGTCACACAACACATGTTTTAACATTGAAAGCCATTGTTTAACATCGACAGAGTTAATGGCTTATATACCTACACATTTACAAAATCTCCTACCAAAATATTACTCACGCGAGCACAGTGTTAAAAACCTAATTTTTGTTGTAAAACAGACTTAAATTTCTTGTTTGCCTGTTTGTCTGTCCGTCTGTCTGCCGTCCCGGATTTTTATTAGACAGGTAATCTCCAAAAGTACTGCGCCGATTGTTGTCAAATTTTATATTTATATTACGAATATCATGTAGATGGTAAAACGCTAACCAAAATTTGTCCAATCATCCCCACCAATCATGTGATGACGTTAATTCAAAATTTTTAAATAGTATAAAATAACATAGTCCTACACATGTAGTTCATGACTCCGTGTTACATTTTTACCCCAAACGTCCACATTTTTGTAAAAAAAAATCAAAATTATAAAACAACATTTCGCAATTTAAGTTTGAATCTGCAAAACCGAATGCTGGGGCTAAAAAAAATTAATGGATGCGTGAATTTATTTTATCGATTTAATCAGGAACTACAAAATCGAGTGCTTTGAAATCTTGGAGATGTTTTAAAGTTGTCATAAGTATGGTAAATTTTTGACAAAATGTATTTGCTCATCCCCCTAAAAAATTGATGACGTCCCCTCAAAATATTGCTGAATAAATCCTATCTTAAATATGATGAGTCTATACTGGTGATTTATTACTGCATTAAATATATTTGCTTATACAGGGTGTCCCAAAAAAATTAATGACTCAGTCAGTTTATTTTCATGATTAAGCCAAGAATTGCAAAACTGAATATGTACTTTGAAATCTTGCAAATGTTTTGAAGTTATTGTAAACATGGTAACTGTTCAAGTAAAATGTATCTGGTTATCAGCCCCAAAAAATTGATTACGTCATCTTAAAATTTTGCCGAATGATTTGGACTCGAAGTTCACTTGTCGGTACCAAAATAAGGACTGACAAAATTAAGAATGAAATGGGTAAAAGACAAAATGAGTAACTGCTAGAAGGATGTTACCTGAAGAGTTCAATAAGGGAGAATTAATAAAATTTTATGCCCGATGCGGCCTACTCAATATACCAATAAGCGGTGTATCTCCAGTTTGAATTAGGATGTCTTAATTACTGGTTTTTGGGGTAAAGATTCTACGGAAATGCTGAATAAACCTACAATTTTATAATTTTACAAAAATGTGCATAAATATACACTTAATCAAAATTTCAAGGAATATGCATTTTGCGTACAATCCGAGCCTTAGTTATAAAGGACCCATTGTATAGTGACCTTACATAAATAAACACTAGTTTCCTAATGCAGATAACAGTTTCCAAATATTTCCACCGATTAGTTGAAATAAATCATTTTGTATTATATTCAAACTTAATTAAAATATCAATTTCCCGTTTACCTTTCCTTAAGCCTTGAATACACCACAACTTCAAACCAAAACCTCGCTTCTCGCGACAATGCAGAAAATCTACACACACTAAAACCTAATTTAGACTACATTTGTTCCAGATAAGATAAATGCCTTAGCCTACGAGCATACAGGTTGGCGCTGAAGATGAAGGTGCTCCTGTTGGCTGTGATGGTCCTGTTGGTGACAGCAGCAGATGGCATCGAACCCTGTAAGTAATTGACCCCGTAGGAGGTGAGTGGTGGCGCAACGAAGTGCGAGAGCACAAAAGGACCGGTATTTGCATGTCACAGCGTTTTCAGCAGGGAATAGATCTCTAATGTGCCGGTTTCCCTTTGGAGCCTCGCATCACAAACGCGCGTTTAATAAAGAGCGCTATTTGCATTTAACGATATTAGCCACCAAAAAAAAAGCTGCGACAAATGAACTTCGCCAAATTCTAATCCAACTAGTAACTTTTCGTTATTGCAGCACAATGTATTGCGCCGATGGGCATGGAAACGGGCGCCATCAAGGACGAGGATATCACCGCCAGCTCCTCGTTCGAACACGGAAATGTTGGACCTCATCACGGAAGGTATGAACTGCAGATATTGGTGGTAGAAACGCAGCTAGGTTTGAATTATGTAGGCGCCGTTTTTGTTGTTTTAATTATGCGTGTTTAGAACGTGGTTCTGGTTTTACGTTAGTTACATTAATAAATTTAAAATACCTTCTTTGGCAACCGGGATTATCCGCTTATATTTAAACTAGTTAGTTTGCAAACTAGTCTCCGTCAAAATAACTTAAAAGATTTAACAACCATCATTGAAAGAAATATATATATATTTGGCTGAATGTACGAGGGATATTGGTGATTAAACGTTTACTACTGAGTAATAAATCCAATTATTACAATACTGATAATGTAATTTTAAAAACTTTTGAAAACAAACATGTTTGCATTAATTTTCAAAGTAGGTTACCACTACCTCATACAGGTTATAAACATTTAAAAACACGTCGAAGAAATTTCCGTAATTATGACATAGATTTTAGCCCAATTTATCAATCTTTCAAGGTCAAGTGGTCGGCAATTTGGAGGAGTTAAAGCGACAATTGATTTTTTGGTTTTTGTTCGTATCTGATTTTCATACTACTCATTTTTACTTACAGATGATTCATAAGCCCCAGTCTTAGAGTATGAAAAAGTAGGTCGCCCGTGTCCATCTATGTGTCGTTTGTTGGTTGTACTTAACTGATTGTTATGAAATTTTAAACGTTTCTTCGGAGTATTATGTATGTAGTTGGTAAAACGCAAATTAAATTTTGTCTGATCAATTTAGACAGCGGATGACCGTCGGGCTAGGCAAGGTGAAACTGGCTACGGCTCGTACAGGATGGGAATTCATGGCAGTTATGGGCTGCACTTGGTTTATTTTAGAATAGAATAACGCTGTTTCGTTGCACTTTGCTGTTAATTCCCTTTTTCATTTACCAAGCCGTTTGACTAATTAAGTTTTTGTTAATTGTATTTATGGAATAAGTGACCATTAAAAATTCAGTGATTATCACCCCTTACTGAGTCCCGGCGATCCAGCGCGTCCCCACCTATAATCGCGACGTAGCCCGCCAGAAATCCGCTCTCTACATCATCCCCACAAACAATTTGATAACGTACTTTCAAAATTTTGAGAACTAAATTCTCTTCTTTATTCGCTTACGCTCGAGAAGTAAAAACGAAAAATTAAAAACCGAATAAATGACAAAGTTTTAAAATCAAATATGTAATTGAGAAAATGAAAATTTTGAGTCATAAAATTGAAAATATGTTTTTTTTAATACCCTAATTATTATTACATATTTAAAATGAAAACTAGAAAAATTGCACAGCAAAATTGAGGAAACGAAAAATTGAAAAATCAAGAAAACTGAAAAATCTAAAATTGAAAACTCGTGGAACTTCAAATCGAAAAACTGCAAAAACTAAACATCCAACAAAAGAATAGAACCCGGAGAGTTGTCTATCGCAAAATTAAAGAAACAAAAAAAATTGGTCGAAACTTGTTTCGACAGAACTTCCCTCGCTCCTGAAATACAATATTTTTTTTTGAGTCACCCTGTGTATGCAAATCCAAAAAATATTAATAAAATCATAAATTACAAGTACAGACTCATCATTTTGTACATTTTAGATAGGATTTATGCAGCAACATTTTGGAGTGATGTCATCATAATTTTTTTAGGGGGTATGACCATTTTGCTCAAAAATTTACCATGCTTATGATAACTTTAAAATATCTCCAAGATTTCAAAGCATTCGGTTTTATAGTTCCTGATTAAATCAATAAAATAAATTTACGCATTCATTCATTTTTTTGAGTCTCCCTGTATATGCAAGTCCAAAAAATATGAATGGAATGATAAATTACAAGTACAGACTCATCATATTTTGTACATTTTAGGTAGGATTTATTCGGCAAACTTTTGAGCTGACGTCATCGATTTTTTGGAGGGGATAAGCAAAATATATTTTAACTAAAAATTTATTATGCCCTTTATAACCTTAAAATATCTGCAAGATTTCAAAGCATTCGGTTTTGTAGATTCCAAATTAAATGTAAAAATGTTGTTTCCTAATTTTAATTTTTTGTTCCAAAAATCTGGACGTTTCGAGTCAATTCTCAATTCGTAGTCATAAAGTACATGTGTAAGACTATGTTATTTGATACAATTTAGAACCCAATTACTACTAGTATGTACAATTTTGAAATGACGTCATCACATTACTAGTGGAAACGGGAGACCTACTTCTTCGTCCTCTAGGGGTCATGATAGGTCGAGAAAATGCAAAAGTAGAGAGTCGGCCGCCGGACTCGATTACAATACTTCCTTTGCTTACGCTCGGGAAGTAAAAAGGGAAAATTGAAAAGTTGCAACTCAAAAAATTGAAGAAACAAAAATCGAAAAATTGTAAACATGAAGAAATAAAAAACCGAAACCAAAAATTGCAAATCGAAAACTTTAAGAAAAAATTAAAGGATCGAGAAATTGAAAAATTAAAATTCGAAAATTCGAGAAAATTTATACCGAAAAATTGCAAAAATTATGTTCACTCTGATGGCATTTTTATATTTGTGTGAATTCAAATAAATTAATGTGCAAGCTCCGATCGAGTTTTGATTTCGTGCTACAATTTAAAAATATAACAAACAAGAAAAATAGAAAAATCGCAAAACGATCACTTGAAGAAACGACCGATTTTTTACCTTTTTTTGTGGAAAAAATTAAAACTTTATAGCAAGATTCTACAATTTAAATTATAAATTACAAAACCGGAATGCTCGGAAATTTCGCAAACGTTTTCTGGTGATCATAAGGGTGGTAAAATATTAATCAAAATTTATCTCCTCCCTCTCCAGAACGTTGAGGACGCTATCTAAAAATTTTGGTGGATATATCATCTTGTCATAAAGTATGACACACCTTAACGTATTATAACCTAGAAGTTTTTAGTTTAGTCATATTTGACACTGCGAGCATGCTAACTGCATGCAGCGTGACAACTCTTTAAGTTTCAAACGTCAAACTAACAATAAAATCAAGACTACATTCAAATTTTTAAAATGACAAAAAAACGATGTCCGAAATGATTTTGTTCACCAGTGTATTATACTGTTGTTCTGCTAACGCTAAATGCAGGGCTTTCATAAATTATTCTAATACCCATGTGGGTAGTAATTTGTTCCGCCTCTTGCGGAGTGTAACTATATGTTATGTTATAATGTTATAATTGTTATAACAGATGACATATTAACCGTTTTAATTAAAACTTATGATAATGTCTACCATTAGGAAGAAGTGGCAATTCTGCAACATTTTTAAATTTCACAGCTCACTGGAAGTAAGAAATATTTATGAAAGGTCTGTTACATTTGAATTGACGATTTGCTGAGTTTTATGTTTCATAATAAAATAGTAAACTCAGGCGCCTTCCACTCCCTTGCTTTTGCTGCTGCTCTGCGTACAAAGCTTTATTTTCACTGAAATTTTTGCATTTCTCAGGCTAAGAAACGAGCTGGACGGTGGTGCGTGGTGTCCGCAAAGCGCAGCCACTCCGGACCTGAAGGAATGGATTCAGATCGATCTGCACACCGTTCACATGATAACGGCGACAGAAACGCAAGGTCGGTTTGGGAACGGTAAGGGCATGGAGTTCGCGGAGGCATACGTTTTGGAATATTGGCGGCCTCGCCTTCTGAACAAATGGATCCGCTATCGTAATCGCACCGGTGCGGAAGTCCTGAAAGGCAACATAAACACGTACCTCGAGTCGAAGACCGTGCTCGATCCGCCCATATGGGCGAGTAAAATTAAGTTTCTGCCGCTCAGTCACCACGAGCGGACCGTTTGTATGCGCGTCGAGATCTACGGATGTCGATGGACTGATGGCATCGTGAGTTATTCGATGCCGCAAGGTGATAAGAGGGGAACGAGCTGGGAGTTCTACGACACTTCGTACGACGGGCACTGGGACGGCGAGAAGCTCCAGTACGGTCTAGGGCAACTCACCGACGGAAGGGTCGCCCCCGACGACTTCAAGGCGACGTTCTATCAGACGAACTCGCAGCAGGGATGGGTGGGCTGGAAGAACGACACCCGCAAGAACAAGCCGATCGAAATAGTTTTCGAGTTCGATAAGGTGCGCGAGTTTACGGCGGTGCATATTTACAGCAACAACCAATTCACTAAAGACGTTCAAGTGTTTTCGCAAGCGAGAGTGCTGTTTAGCGTGGGCGGAAAGCGCTACAAAGGTGAGCCCATCACGTTTGATTACATCGAAGATCGCATTTGGGAGACTCCACGCAACGTTTCGATTAGGCTCCACCATCGCGTGGGGAGATTTGTTAAAGTACAGTTGCAGTTCGCTGCTAGATGGCTGATGATTAGCGAAGTAACTTTCGATTCGTCCGTCGTTAACGGCAATTTCACGGAAGAAGAGGAAGAAGAGCAAGAAGAACAATCGTCGCAGAAGGACGAGATCGCCGCCGCGGGAGCGGACAATAAAAACGTCGTAAGTGCCGTGAACACCCCGTCAGGACTGGGACAATACCTCGGCGTGATAGTCGGAGTATTATCAGTGCTCGTAGTGTTAATGGTGGCGGTAGTAGTTTTCGTTGTAATACAACAAAGAAGATATAAATCATCGCCGCGGCCGTCTCAAGTGCCAGGCGGCTGCGATAAGGCAGCACTCTATCGCGAGCCGAGTATGGGAAGACTTCCGGGTAGTTCCGATTATGCAGACGTTCGCGACCCCGAATATGCTGTGCCCTTACAACCTCCACAAACTCCCCGCGCACCGCCGCCCCTGCACAACTTCCTTCCGAAACCGCCTCCGGTTCCGCCACCCCCTGAGCGTTACTACGCGGCCACAGAAATATGCAACTCTGGCTTTGTGCCACCGCCACCTCCTTTGTCTACGCCGCCGCCGGTTAGGCTCAGCAGACAACCTAGATATGTTTCAAATACCAGAACATATGTTGGACCTTAAACTGTGATAAATCATCCTTAAAACGGCGCCATTAATGTTGCCGTTACTTTTTGGGTGAGTAGTTCGTTAATAAGTTCCAAGAAACCCTCGTAAACTATTTTTTTTTCCTTTGATTGCATTGCATGACATCAGCAAATCGCCACGTTAGTGTGTCCCTACTTGAAGTTTTATAACATACTTCGGTATTAGCATTCAACATTCGTGTGTATAAAGTAAATACAAAGTTGTTACATTGAAAAAGCAAATGAATTAGTTATGGTACCCCGGGAATAATAAAGCACTTGACTGGTCATATTTACTGATGTTAATTGTGGTTGTTGAGAATGTTTTGTAGCTGTCATGTTCTGCTGCGTGTACACTTTTACTCTATTTTTTCCGTATCATGTTACTTACAGTTGAACTTTTCTCAAATATGAAAATATTTCAGTACCTGTCCGTCTCAGTACTCAGTAGCTTTTACTGTACGTAACGACGTCATAACGGATATCGGATAGAATTTAAAATCCTTTCTACACCACTAACAAGTTTTGCAATTGCAATTTTTAGATTTAATTTCATCAGCTGTGTTTTCAAAAAATATTGCCTTTTGTTAAATATTCGTGAACCATTGAACCTAATAATTTCTCATAGGGTTTGATAGTTACGCAAGAGTTTTATCTACAACACAAATTTTTATGTTTGAGTGGTAATATGTATACATCCTTTAATTAAAAATTAAAGATGAAAACATAAAAAGATGTACTAATATAATACTATATTTAACAAGATCGATGGCCAATCGAATTATTTTCCTGCTCTAGTGTGTAATTAAAATATGATTGTAAAAACAATACAATGAATAAGTAAACTCTGGAATAAATTTGATGAAAAATTCAGGAATAAAACTGATGTTCTATAAATTTACTAAATTCTGAACATTTTTTTAAACTTTGTGTGGTAATACCTACAGCTTTATCTAAAAAATAAATTTCATATTACAGAGTTTACTTTCAGAATGAAATACGCTGCGCAAATAGCAATCTGTCTAGTGTGACAGGTCCATTTCAGAAGTTGTAATTTAGAAAAGTGGATAGATTTACACACGGGGAAAACGTGGAAATGTAGATACAATTTGTATACAAAAAATAAATTCTTTACAAAGCGTTATGTGAATGTGAAAGCAATAGTTATGATACACTCAAGAACTCATAATGCAAGTCATAAATGTTGATAAGCATTCTGTCTATGTTTATAAATAGGATATAATTTTAAAGAATTATGAAACTTGTTAATTTGACATTTCAGAATTAATTGTAACATATTAAATGACGAAGGATAAGAATTTATCACTCTGTATATAGATTAGAAGTACAAAAATTAAGGCCGCAATACAGTGTTATTCGACTATACTGGTGAACAGGGTTATTTTATCTTACCCTGTATAAAAAAAAAGAAACAATTATTCGTTTATAGTGAAAATTTAGTTCTATTAGTTCTATTGATTGGGTTAAATTTAAATGTGAATAATGTTGTTTTTGATGTGTTTTCTCTAATATGAAAATGCATTACTGTCAGTGCTAGTCTGGAAAAATACATCTTGCACAACCGTGCAAGCACCAATAAAGTTAAATTTTAACAATTAACGTAGATATATGATTTAAAACGTTTAGGTTTTGCTAACAACGTTGCTTGTGAAAACATATTTATTTTAGTATGTACCTGTTTTTTCAACTCCAATTTTTTTGGTGCCATTTTGGTACAAAGAGAAAACGTAGCAAAATTAGATGTTTTACACAAACTGGTGAGAATACAATTTTTTATATACAGGGTGTCCCAGGTAAACTCCGCGGAATTATATGTTGAAAACGGTCGTACACGAATTGCGGTGCAAATTTTGCTCAAATATCAGGTATCCAGGTATAGTAACCCTATTCGAGATACACCCACATAAATTTTTATGGGTCCAATCACTCAAAAATCGGTGCTCCTGAAACCGCAACCATAAATTATGAAAAGGGCTTGACAGGTCATTTTATACAGAACCGTATTCGGGTTGAGTTGAAAGTTTTACCTGGTTTCGGTAATGTTATAGATATAATATTAGAAAATATAATAATCGTCCAGAAAGTTCTCCCGCTGTAGTAAATCTCATTAGACAACAATCAGAACTCATATCTTCTGAAAAATGGCAGAATTGTATTCGGCATGTTATAAAATTTGAATCAACATTTGTAAATACACGGCCTAACGAAATTATAATTTCAATAAATAATGACTCATCTGAGTCTGAAAGTGACTTATAAATCTTATAATCTTATAAATATTATTTAACTAATACAATTTGTCTATTATTTCACCTTATTTTTTTAACAGAGTACGGCCCTGAAAAATTCTGCCGGAACGTGCCGATATCTGGTCGCATAGGGTGTTAAAAGCAATAAATTACTGTTGCCATTGTGCAGGGGTTTCACTCATTATCTGTCATAAAGTTTTATGTGGGTGTATCTCGAATGAAATTTGTATATATGGATAATTTTGACCGAATTGCGATTTTACGATATATGTACATATTGCAAAAAGTGTACTTTGTAGACATATGTTTATAGAATCTAAAATTGTTCAATTCAAAAATAATGAAAGTTCAAGGTATAATTTTGTGAAATGTTTCAGCTACACGTTTGCTAATATCATGTCATAATTATAGATATGTAATAAGATAATTTACATAGTTTATTTTAGCTTAATTTACGATGATTTTATTGAACAATTTCAGAAATTATATCATTTGGAACAGCATAGATCAATAGCAAATAAAACTACAAGGGATTATAAGATATCAGGTAGGTGCAAAATTTTTGCACCGCAATTCGGTCAGTGTCTATAAGATACCGGGTAGCCAAAAAATTTTGAATCGCATTTCGGTCAAGGATTAAAAATCCACCGTAGTTCGGACAGGCGGTTGAAAATGGATAGAGATATTGAAATTCTGTAAACGCTGGTGTTTTTAGTTTGAAGAAGAAATCTTAATTTTGTATGTACATTGCAAATATGACGTATATATGACGTTGGCTTAAACTTATTTTTTTTATTGCTACGTATATTGTTAGAACAGATTTTGATATACATATTATTAAATTACGATTACAGTGAAATAAGTATAATAATAAAACACTTCGCTATTTATTTCAGTTTCAGTCAATAGAAAAAAATAAAATTTATGAATGTAACAAAATGTTTATTTTACAAACAATTACTAAGACCTGCTCCAAAAACAATCATCTAAACATATTCATATTGAAGACAAGTTAAGGTTAAAGGGACACATACATTCCTAACAAATATTTTTTTAAATCTTCAGTACACAAACATCTGAGGGCGTTAAATCGGGGTTGTGGGCTAACCACCGTCGACCCAATTTTCATAATAAATAAGTGGTCTAGGCCTTCCAACGCACCTGAAATCATACATTTTAAGAAATTCGATGGGTGAAAAAAGTGTCGACGAGGATGGAATTCGAACCAACGCGAACAGAACGCAATTTCGGTAAGACGCGGAAAAATCCATACTTCTAGTTGGAGTTCGTTGTGCGTGTAAACCAAATATCAGCTATACGACACTCACGGCGACATATTGCACACAATTTTTGTAAGGCGGATTCATAAACCACCAGTACAGGAGTATGTTAGTTTATGGTAATAAAATATAAATAGGAGCTCCTATAAAAAAAACTTTACTTTGCGTTATTTAATTGTTGATGGATAACAACAAATTTTGGTTGGTGTTTTATCATTTACACGATATTCTTAAATTCCTATAAAATTTACCAGCACTCCAGTAGTTTTGAAGATTACCTGTGTAATAAAAGTCGACACAGGCAGAGAGACGAACGGACGGACGAAAACGGGGACCTATTTTTTTTGTCCTGGGGAAGGGGGAGGATGGTCATGAGACTTCGAGAGAAAATGAAAGTAGTCATTCGTCGGACGGAAGAAATTACAACACCTATACTTCCTTCGCTTGCGCTTGATCATTAAACATTCAGCCATATTCGACAGGCAACAAAAAAATATTGTAACAGTCCAAGATTTTTGACATCAAAAAATTTAACAATTAATACACACTTATATATGTGTTTTGTGAAAATCCGTTAAAAAAGTATATATTTGCGTCATGACACCGACATATATATATATGCTATATTTGCAATGTACTAAATTAAACTTCCCTTTCAAGCTAAAAGTAATGACATTTGCAGAGTTACAATATTTCTACCCACTTTCAATATATAAGACAGCAAAATTTTATCTGGAACACCAGGTATTTTGTAAAACGTTCTAACGTACTTGCTAGGTAATTTTTAAAATTTTCGATTCTGATTGTAATGTCAAGAAATATAAAATTATTTAATTTTTAATAAATATTACATTTACGCGGGGTACAAAATAGTGTGCATCACTCTGCCTGAAACTGCTTTTGCGAATAGTCGTTTTTTGCAGCCTCGCTAACGCTCGATGTAGCAAACTCGCTCGTATTCACAAATGCTTATTAGTTTCTCGCCTTGTGATCCAAATAACTATTGTTTAAACAGTTTGAAAAAATTGTAGCGTTTAAGCGAGAACTGTAAACTTGAAACAAATGTGTTAGATGAACATTTCATTATGTAACGGGATTGAATGCTTTGACGGCTAGAGTTTATAACAAAGGCGTTTTTCGGGTTTGGACCGTGTCAGTTTTGAAAAGGGTTTCGACGTTTCGCCCACTTTCCTAAAAAGGGCGTTTTGTTGTCATGTAATTATGTTGTAGGTGTAAAAAGAACCTACCGTCTAAACTGGAGGTTTTTACCAATAATTGTTTCTTTGAGAGCAGAGTACTTCTTTCAATTTTTTTAAGAGGCAAATTAGAAAAGTAACGAATCTTTGAATTGTATACAAAATAATTAGAATAACATCTGACTGTGTAGTGTTAGAAATAAATGTTCTAAAAGTCAGAAATCGATGATAATGTAAAACGGTAACATTGTATACACCTTATTAACTAATGTATTTTGTCGTTCAGGAGGTTCGAAATTGTTGCTTTGCGATCCATACAATCTCCTTAACAACGTTTCATAGAATCAGTGCACGATTTTTTGAGCAGTCTGTATATACTTATGCGAATGTAGCATGCACCTCGTCATTCTTTTCGGCTTCAACCCAGCAAATTGGATGCACAATTTTGACAAAAAACTGAACTTTATTATCTTGATCACAAGTAATTACTTTTCAGTAAACACTCATGTTCACTGAGGTGTACATAAAGTTAAGGACAAATTCAAAATTATCAAATTTGGTACAAGTCACTAAGCAAACCAACTACCAAGACTGTATAACGAAAATTTATTTAAGAAACTAAAGTGTTATTTCATTTTTAGCGGTAAGTAGTATAAAACCTGAAAATGAAATATCTGTTCCGACGGGAAAGACGTCAACTTCTCACTCTATTTTCATGTCTGTGTGTTATTAACAAAAAATACAAAATAAGTTTTTATTTAAACTGCGGTGCCACTGTACACATGAAAGAAATATTTTTTAAAGTAATATAATTTTTCATTTGTATTTGCTTCAGCGAAACAGTGAATCTTTGAGATTTTCTAAATGCTATGTTACGTGTCAATTTGAAGTAGTTCATTAGGAGTTCTTTCTTTATATGAGATCAGAAAAGTTGCTGCTCTGAAACTTACTTAGCAGCAACGTGTTTCACCATCAAGGCGATGGACGTTTGGTGGTTAATGTTGAGTATAGTAAGATCAATACGAGGAGTCTTGGTAGAGCTTAGTGAAGTAGTATTTAGTTATACTGATATTAACATTATTAAAGTATTGATATCTCAATAGAACATTACAGCAAAAACATTTCCTTTTTCTGTTTGATTAGATTACAAATACGAAAATTAATTGAATGTTAATAGATTCCTTGAGATTGGTTAATTCAAATTTTTCCAGTCATAATTAAAATTATAAATTTGTCGTTTTCTTCACATATACTTGTTTGGATTTATTTTGAACAAAATGTTTAAATGTTTATTGTTCACGGACGTGTTTGTATTTTTACGTCTAAAAGAATTTCGCAGCTGAAATAACTGGTTCAAATACGTTATGACGTCGTCACTAGATCGGTGAAAATTTTCGTCATTTAACTCGATTGTGTTTGTTTTTCAGCTCCTCGCCATGATTTGCCAAGGCTGAAGACTACCAAATATGCTTATTAATTCGTCGCTTTTATAATAAGACAATCCACTATCGTACCATGTGCTATCTGTGTTGTACATAGAAAACCCTATTTTAAATTATCAGAAATTGTTTATACCTTTGTACATATTCGTGATAAATGTAAATAAATAGCGTATACGTATTTTCATTTTTTCATTGGATACTTCACAAAAATTGATTTTCCGCCTGCTGCTTCATTTTAGTTTCTCATTTGCTTAATTTATTTTACAATGAAAAAATTTTCATTTTCTTACAGAGTAGGTACCTAATAATTTTAACGTTGGGGTTTTTAAGTTGTTGAACACCTACGAACTCTATAAAAATATTGATATCTATTCCTGTTTCTTGCTGTATAATCGGGCAAGTGAAACTGTTAATTAACTTAAAATGTTTAATGTCACATTAGCAGCAGAACCTGCGTCACCTGCCATCTTCATCGTTCTCATTTCATGTAATTAGGACAGGTAGGTATCTTCTGCAAAGTTAGCTGATCGTCACGTCACAGAAAGCGAAGGAACGAATTTAATTATTACAGTTCTTCTTTGGATGAAAGTAAATGTAGCATTATTAATTCTGTAGGATAATAGGATTTGAGAAGGGTATCAAAAAATAAGTTGGCAAAAAAGTAATTTAATGCGACACGGGGCATTGATTGCTTCAAGTTTCAGGTTGAATTCGTTTCCGATGAAGATTATGTTGGCGAATAAGACGCTGCCAATATTTCTATCTTACATCATCAAGTCCCTCATCTTCAGTGTTTGCTGGAACGTAAACATGTCTCCAAGATTCGTTTGTTCTCGAGACTTTGGCAGTAATCACGATATATGAAGTTTAACTAGCGTCGTTTGAGCTGTAAAGAATGATCGTGTTTATCGGAATCGTAACTCCAGTTGTTTTTCAAAGATGTTCACAAAGTCGCCTAATAAAGGCAATTAAGTAGTCTACATTCAAATAGTTTGTCATAAAGAATAAACGACCCTACATTAAGAACAGTGAATTAATTTAATCACAACGCTCAAAGTTTTCCGACTTGTCGTTTTGTTTGTGCTGTTGTGAAGGAACATATTTTAAAATTACTTTGTTCCGATTTATGGCGTTGGTAGTGTTATTTGGTTGGTGTCTAGAGTTCGGCTAGACTTGTACTAATGGCACTTAAAACACCACTTTGCAAACTTCGCATTTTCTGTTGATACGAACAATACATGTTCACAACACTGGCAAATACGAGACTGTTTTGTGTCTGTTTTAGCGTAATAACAATTACTGTAACATGGAAAATAAAGAAAATACCCCGAAAACTACAACAATTAAAACACAATCAAACACAGTTTACTATGCAATAACGAAACTGACTTTTCCCTAATTTATCACTAATTTAAATAAAAATATCTAAAGAAAACTTCTTCAATCAGCGAATAATCAGTCTTAATGTTTTCATGGATTTATTCACAGTCAAATTTAGGTGAGAAACAAAACTTAATTTGAAATCAAAAATAACCCCCAAATCCTGAATCTCCGATATCCTTTTAATCGACACTGTATCAGCTCTATAGTTAAAATTTATCCATGCCAGTGATCTAAAAAACGTTATAATATAAAATTTCTCAAAATTTATATCCACGACATTGACGCTGCACCAAGACAAAATGTTATCCAGATCCATTTGCAGCTGAATAGGCCTCGATGTCCGAGACTGCCTTATATATTTTAATGTCATCTGCAAGAAGAATGGACTCTGAGAACTCGACTACTTTACAAATATCATTAATAAATAATATAAAAACTAGCGGACCGCAATGGGAACCTTGTGGTACACCTGATGTAAATTGAAATCAAGGTTTTACTGCTTATTTTAACGAATTCTGTATGTTCTCTTCGGAATAAACCTGTTGATCCAGGAAAGAAATCATCAAATTTCGTAGCTCTTAGCTCGGAATTTTTGGAGAACTATCTATCCAATCGACAGAAGAGATTTTGAAGTGATCTTCGTTCCGGGTACTCAACTGATGTACTTCTTAATTTTTAGGAAACATGTCTTTATTTTTAGATACTTCTACACACAATACTAGTGTAGGTAGCGACAATTAAAATATTATATGTACTTTTTAAAAAGATATCTGCATGATTGGAACCTGGAGATACGAGAAATTATATTATATGTTTTGCCCAATGAAAACGTCCGAAGTCATTGCGGAACTTCCCCAAAATTTAATTCCATATTTTAGTGTTGAGCCAGCTTGTCTATGATGTAAATTTATCAACTGCTCTAAATTTAAAATATCTCATAAACTGCGAATTAGATAATAGGTGGAACTGAGTTTTGATATGATTTTTAAACACTATTTTCTCCAATATAGTGTGTCATCTATATGCAGTTCAAGAAAAATAACCAAATTTTGTAATGAGTAAAATCTAGTAAAGGTATTTTTTATATAAGTAGAATTCGTTACTATGGGACTTCACTTTTATTTTCATTGCGTTACTTAATTTCTAAGAAATTGTTAAGGAGAATGTGTCGCGTGTATAAAGAATAGGAGCAGCATTCTTGCGTATGCAAGGGTCTATATTATTTATTTGTATAAATAAGACAACACCAGTATCAAACCCTGAGCTAGATCTAAATCTACATACTTACGTATAAGCTCCTATATAATATGTATATATCCATATATACAAAATATAAAATAAGTGGATATAATGGGAGTCTTCTAGGATGAATCACAGCAGCCGTCTTCATGTCGCGAGTCAACGATGAGATTGTAATTACGGCGTCGGCCAAGGCAAAAAGCATGAACTACTGGCGTTTAATAAACATATCTCATGTCTTTAAGCTTTATGTGGTGAACCTTGTGGAGAGCGAGGGTAGAGGAAAGAAGTTTCACCGAAGCGGAACATAATCTTTTGACAGCTAATCGAGATGTTTTAAAACGAGGCGGCTAACACATTTTTAAGTGTCCAGTGGATTGACATCAAAACCTTCATGGATAATGTTTATATTAAAATATGCAGATGCAGACAGACCAACAGACTTGTGAGAATCTATATTTTGAGTCTGTTGAAGAACCTAACTAAACTAAAAACACCATAGAAGTGGTGCCCGAGAAGCTTAAATATGTCATCGAAAAGAATTTAAAAACATAACTTTTAGAAAGAAATAGCGCACCATCTGGATTCTTCCTCAAATATATTACGTATGTTCAGAGAAACAATTTATAAATTGGGTGTTCTACATAAAAAATGGGACTTAACTTAAAATATTTCTTCTATGGACAATGTTTGCAGATAACACCTTCATTACCTCGTATCTAAAAAGAATCCAGGAATCTGAATCGAGGATGCTAAGGTAATGAAAAGATTCCATACTGGAGTGAGGGGCAATGAATAGGTGTGGAGCGTATGGCAAATAGTGAAAATTAAATATTTAGGTACACAGAAACCAGGACTTTTGATCAGATTTCGACTACATCATGAGGCTTGTGATGTAGGGTTCATGTGTCATACACATGACATGGTCCACAGGTGGTCCTTTTACATGACGTTACTTAATAGTGTAGAAGATGCTGGAGAAAAAGCTTTCCATTTTAGCAATATTCTTAGGTAGGTATTGAAGGGACGTTTGCGGAGTCATGAAACAGACCCTCCACAGACACACCCTCTATTGATGACCCCGTAAATAGGGAATCTCCTTAGAGTTCCATCTTCTTCTGTCTTTGAAACAGTATTATTATCGATAGCCTGTTACGATGTCTCGGTGGTTAAACAAGATACGGGTATCACAACGTTGTTCACCTCCGAATTTCATGATTTGAACATGCAAAGTAATAGTATAGCCTGTGATCCAACTTATTAAAAAATGGTGTACCTATTGATGGGAACTCTCAGAAGACTGATTTACTCCTGTTCCCAAGGAGAAATAGAAGAACACATTGCTTTAAATTTCAAAGTCAGATATTCTGAAACTGCACTTGACGGGATAGCCTCAAAGCACTCAGGCCAAATACGCTCAGCAAATGATACATGGTTTACTGTTACATAATAAAGGCCACAGCTATAGATGATCCTAGGGGTCTGTTCTATGATTACTACGTCTTGATTTCCATACCATAGACATGTCTCTTAGCCTTAGTCTTTGGTTGTGCGAAATAATCTACCTTATCAGAAGAAGAAGTCCAAGATTACTTTATGACAAGAAATATAGATTATCCGCGAAAAGTAATTCAGAGGTAACAGCTATCGTTAATATTTTTGTAGACGACTTTAATACGTGGAGTGTCACGAACCAATCGAGTGAATACACAAGTGAGCATATCTATCGTTAGCTTCATATCTTTTGCAAACAGAATTGATAGGAAAAATGCTAGGAACTGGGATAGTTATGCAGTATGCATCCTGTACGCACATTTACTACCACTAACTAACTGCATTGTACCAATCCTAGAGAAACCAGCTAAAAATATTTCATGTGGATGTTTGGTATTTTCGTCGTGCGGAGGATCCACATACAGGAAGATTAGATTCATTATGGCTTGAATCAAAGATTCACTTCCTGATCTGAACAGATAATAATACCTAATTTATTGAATTGCTGGACAGTTGGGAAGACATTCAGATTTTACAAAGTGGAAACCGTTATTAGGTTTTGTACGCAAGTATATATTATAAAATAATGTGTCAGAAATGTGCACGCTGATTGGTGATTTCGAAATGTGTCCAATAAAAAAATGGAGAATAGCTCACAATAAGATTTATTGCACTGTGTAACGTTCATGTTCCTAAGTGGTAGCAATATCTAGAAAAAATATTTGAATAAATATAAATTGTTATACACGCCACTGGTAATGTTTCTTGACCTAGCATAACTACTATTCAATGAATGGCACAGAACGACTAGGATTAAGAACAAAAAAAAATGGCGCACTGCTAAGCAACATGCAAAAACTCTATAAGAGCCAGTCACGTATCAATTGGTTGCCGTCGTATGTTCGGATATCGTCTTTGACCATGGTGAATTTTTCCAATTTAGAGCGTGTTGATATCATAATGCTTTATGGTGTGGCTGATGGAGACGCCAGATTGGCCCGCCAATTGTGGATTCTGTGTTAGCAAACGTTTACATCAGTGGTACAGGATATCCGAGATTAT